GGATTAAGTTAGAAAACCCTTCTCTAGGGAAATCAAATAGATAAAATTTAATGTGAAGGACTCGTTAATAAAGTTTGAGAGAAAGATGCGAAAACATTGAAGACATTGTGAGGCAACCTGTGGATTAGCATGTGCAAAAGGTGTTCACATGTCCAAAGCTGAAGAAGAAAGCAGGCTAGTCACAGAGGTCAAGTTGCTGGAAGAGAGGGTACACTTAATAATAAAACTTACCACCATGGATCAACCCTGACTCCCAGAAGCCCTATAGAATAGAACAGAACTCCCTTCTTGGTTTCCCAGGTTGTAAATCTTGACAGGAACTAACAGCCCCATCTTTCTTTCTCAGAAAGGCCAGGTGGGATCCAACTGCTGGCCTTGTAATTAGTAGCCTCCAGTGTAATCCACTATGTCCTCAGGTTCTTTGCATTTAATAACAGCTCTGACTATTAACAAGACCTAACATTTGAGGTACATACCCAAATCCCCATGAAAGTCTTTAAGCAAGTGAGAGTTTATTTTAAAGATTATATATCAGAACACAACCTAACTTAAAACTATGATGTCAAAATTCATTCATGATCATTAAAATGCTTCTTGATCATTGTGACCATTAGATGTATATTTGCATCAATGTCTTTGAAGACATCTATAGTTGGTGCAGATTCTTATTTTCAATTAGTTAGAGTAGAGAGGCATGCTGTTTTCAGTGTAAGTTTATACATATTTAAGATATTGAATTTGCATTGCCTTTACTGTGTTCTGGATGTACAATATCGTTCATCATTAGCCCTCAGATCATATTTCTTCCCTGTTCCAATTGTTCAAAAAAGAATATATAGCACCTGCCCATCCTCTTTTATCCCCAGATAATCTTTTAAATATCATGTACTCTCATGGAATTCAGGTGGCAGCTATGAGTGAGATGAAATGCAAATGAGATTAAGACTGATGATAGCCTTGCTTGCCGAACTCCTGTTTTCCCCACAGAAATGGGAAGTTAATGGAATCTGCATTCGTGTTGTGACATGGAAAAAGAGAAGGCAGCAGAAGAAAAGGAAAGCAATGCTTAACTACATGGACGAATATTTCAGGTAAGACAAATCTCTGTATTCCTCTTTTACCTTTAATATCCCCATACTGTGCGGATCAACCATGTAGAACCAGAACCGGACAAAGCACAGCCCAAGGCTTGCTGGGAAGAATTCGGAAGTAGTGATCCTTGCAGTGTATCCCACGCGGTCTGATGAGTTGACATACAGGAAGTGTTGCCCATTGCCTTAAAAGAGAGAAATACACTGGGGTATTAGGGTAGAATGTGCTTAAACATGTACACATCTCATTTCTGTCACACACAGTTCAAAGCCACCAAGTTATTTTTGTATATAAAAAAACGGAACGAAACCAAACTCACTGCCATGGAGTCCATGTCTACTCACAGTCATCCAGAAGGACAGGGTAGAACGGCTCCTGTGAGTTTCCAAGACTGTAACTCTTCAGGAGAATAAAAAACCAAAAAACAAACAAATATAGCCTTCTCCCAAGGAGTGGCTGGTGGTTTGAACTGATGACCTTG